GGGACTATTCCTGTTTTGAATGTATTTTCATATAAAATTGAGAGAGGAAGAGCTAAGGGGGTAGCACATTTTTTTAGAAAATATTGATTGATATTCTCAGGACTATGGGATAATTTATTTGGGAGCTTTTTTAGTAGTTTTTCTATTATATAAGGTTCAAAAATGATTTCTTCCTGATATCCATCCTTAGCTTCGAAGCTTGCTTGTATATTGTTTTTACTTCCGCTAACTATTTCTTCAAAAATATTTCTAAATTTATTTGCCTTGTCTATATCTAATACTATGGGGTCGTTTTCCTCAGATTCGTTAAGTATAGGTATACCAGCGTATTTAAATCGATTTCTCTTCATTAATTTATGTATTTCCCCTATATGCCCAGATCCTATTTTTTTCGATAGATAATTGTTTTTATGTTTTTCTATTTGTAATTTACATTTAATTTCAAGACATTTATAATTATCTTTACTAATTTCCCTTAATTTTAGCTTTTTCCATGCATCAGCTTTTTGTTTGATTATTTCCCTAATCTCTTTAGGATATTTCATAGGGGTTTTTTCACTAAATTTTTTAAATGGGATGAATTTTTGAATTGCTTGGGTTATTATGGAATTTAGTATTTCTGCCATTTCAGAGGGATTCTTGTCCTTAAATATATTGTACCAATCATATTGGGCTAAATACCAATTGATTATTTTATATTTTCCTTTCTTAAATAATAGTACCTTTCTTTTTTCTTTAGAGTTTACTTTTTCTACAGGAAAAACTACTTCAAATACTATAGATTTGTGGTCACTCAACACCAAATCATCTATAATTTTGTATTTTTCTATTAATTGCTTATTTTGAAAAATAAGGTCTAGTGTATGGGAAGTGTTATACATGGTTGGTTCTTTTATTATCTGATTTAAATTTAGCTTATTTATGGTATTGTAGAAATATAAGTTCTGATTATCTTTCGGAAGTGTAAACTCCTGCCAATTTATTTTCGGAAAGTTTAAATCCCCTAATATAATATTTGAGAGATCATTTTTATATTTTTTCTTTATTAATCCCCAAAATTTTTTATCATCGACTAATTTTGTATTTGGCGGCCTATATATTAAATGGAATCTAATTCTTTTAAATTCTGAGTAAATATCGAAGGTAAGGAGCTCATGATTGTATTCGGATATCGAAAGTGTCGGGATATTAATAATTTTTATTTCCTTTTTATAAACTACGCCTACGCCCCCGCCTCTTTTTTTTAATCTATCTACTCTAATAAAGTCATAACTATTAGAAGTGAGAAGGGATTCGTTCGATGTATTATCAGTTAGCCATGTCTCACATAAAAAGGCTACATGAATATTATTTTTAATTAAATAATTTTCTAACTCAAATAATTTATTTGCGGTTTTTTCTGAATTAATGGAGCGTATATTTAGAAGTAAGCAGTTTAAATTTAGTAATTTTCTATTATTTGTGTGATTATTTTTCTGTGAGATCCCTAAATCCTAGTCCATGTTCACTTCCTTTTTATAAAAAATTTTAAGATTACGATAAGAAGCTGTGCCATTTCCATGTTTTGTATTGATTTCTTTAACCTGTTGTTTGAGGTAGTTTTGTAGTTGTAGTTCAGGTGGGGTTAAGTCCCTTCTTGCGAAAGGACTATGCCCACCTAAGGTAGGTTTGTGTATTGTTCTATATTGATTAATAAATGAATGTGCGGCAGCTGGAGTCGAAAATTTAACTTTGATGATTCGATGATAATTGTTTTGCTTCTTGATCCCGTGTCGTTTAATTTCGAAATTTTTTGCTTCCTTAAAGTTTTTGTTGTTTATTACTATTTGAACATTTCTTTCTATGTTCTTTAAGTCTTCTTCCTCATTTTCCAATTCTGGAAATCTTTCAATGACTGCGTAAAAACTCTTCTTTTTATAAAGTTCTTTCAAATTTTCATCAAATACGGGCTGTTGAAGCTGTTCAATTGTCATTGCAGCTTGTTTAATTTTTGGTGGCATTAAGTTTGGGGGGCAACCCCATCGAGATGTTTTTTGTTGTTGGGGCTCGGATTGAGGAAGATTAATGTTTAGTTGTTGCTGAATTTGTTGAAATAATGTTTTTATAGTTGTTTCGATTATTGGTGTGAGAAGTTGCACAACATTACAGGAAATTTGTTCAAGTTGTGTTTGTGTTAGGATCGGTGTTTGATCAATCTCACTGTCTGTATTAATCGATGTGCAGGGTCTTTTTGCGTTTCCCATGAAGATTATTTTTTAAAAATTTTTATGGAGGAATGAAAGAAAATTGGAGGAATGAAAATTGAATTAATTCTGATTTTGTTTTGAATTAATTCTGATTTTGTTTTGAATTAATTCTGATTTTGTTTTGAATTAATTCTGATTTTGTTTTGAATTAATTCTGATTTTGTTTTGAATTAATTCTGATTTTGTTTTGAATTAATTCTGATTTTGTTTTGAATTAATTCTGATTTTGTTTTGAATTAATTCTGATTTTGTTTTGAATTAATTCTGATTTTGTTTTGAATTAATTCTGATTTTGTTTTGAATTAATTCTGAATTTGTTTTGAACTAATTCTGATTTTGTTTTGAATTAATTCTGATTTTGTTTTGAATTAATTCTGATTTTGTTTTGAATTAATTCTGATTTTGTTTTGAATTAATTCTGATTTTGTTTTGAATTAATTCTGATTTTGTTTTGAATTAATTCTGATTTTGTTTTGAATTAATTCTGATTTTGTTTTGAATTAATTCTGATTTTGTTTTGAATTAATTCTGATTTTGTTTTGAATTAATTCTGATTTTGTTTTGAATTAATTCTGATTTTGTTTTGAATTAATTCTGATTTTGTTTTGAATTAATTCTGATTTTGTTTTGAATTAATTCTGATTTTGTTTTGAATTAATTCTGATTTTGTTTTGAATTAATTCTGATTTTGTTTTGAATTAATTCTGATTTTGTTTTGAATTAATTCTGATTTTGTTTTGAATTAATTCTGATTTTGTTTTGAATTAATTCTGATTTTGTTTTGAATTAATTCTGATTTTGTTTTGAATTAATTCTGATTTTGTTTTGAATTAATTCTGATTTTGTTTTGAATTAATTCTGATTTTGTTTTGAATTAATTCTGATTTTGTTTTGAATTAATTCTGATTTTGTTTTGAATTAATTCTGATTTTGTTTTGAATTAATTCTGATTTTGTTTTGAATTAATTCTGATTTTGTTTTGAATTAATTCTGATTTTGTTTTGAATTAATTCTGATTTTGTTTTGAATTAATTCTGATTTTGTTTTGAATTAATTCTGATTTTGTTTTGAATTAATTCTGATTTTGTTTTGAATTAATTCTGATTTTGTTTCTTTTTACCTGTTCAGAATTAAATATCTATAAACAAATTGGGCACACAATCCATACAAATTTACAATGGAGAAAGAGTTTACGATAAATAAATAACTTAAGCAAATGATTTTGTTGAAATTATTTTTCATGAATTCAAAGAAAATGCCATTAGTAAAAATAAAAATTGCATTCCCATTGCTGTCACTTAGGTAAATCTTAAAGTTCAAATTTAATTCTGAATTTCTAAAAGTTTAACCATTTGCAATAACATTATAAACGTCAATAAAAAAATATCCAAAACACAATTTTGTATCAGAATTCTGCTGTGTGTTTTCATTTCATTTGGTGTTTTAAAAATAATTAAAATAATCAGAATAATGTTTAGAGGATAACCAAGTAATAAGCATGTCCAATAATCAAGTTTAAATAAAATATCTATTAAATCACCGGACATTTTTTAGAATTTTTAGAAATTGTTTTATTTACAATTTTTTAAAATATTTTAAAAGATAATTTCGTTGAATTAAATTTTAAAATTTTTACCTGCCATTTATTTAAGTACATTCTAAAAGGCAAACAAAAAATATTTTTCTATTATAGTATATAATTATTAGAAGCAAATTGTTTAAATTTTAACTGCCAATTCTTAAAAATTTTTTAGAATCTTTAATTTAAATATAACACTATAATTAAAAATGTTTATCTTACTTGAAAATTCTTTTTTTTAATCTGCATGTGAAAATTAAAATATATTAAAAAGTCCTATGGACATTTGAATTGGGTTGTGTTGGCCCAATCTGGGCTAAAATATTAAAAATATGGACAAAATGCCAATTTTCATTAAATTATTCAGAAATTTTTGCTCAAAAAAGAATTTCCTTTCTTTTACTCTTAGCGCAAGATCATTAAAATTTTTGCTTCAAAAAGTTAAGTGAAGAGGTTAGAGTTTGCATACTTAAATAAGCAGATATGTCAAATAAACGTTCTAAATTTTTAATTCAAATTAGAATACAACAAAAAATATAAAATTGCGTTAATTCAAAAATACTTTTAAAAAATTATCTAAAATAATTTTAACTTAATTTAAAATATTATTTGCCACATATAATTCCTATTAATATATGTAATAATTTTAAGTATATTTGTCAAAAATTATTTTTTAAGCATTAAGTTTAATTAATTAATTTCTCCTTTGATTTCTCCTGTTCATTCTTGCGCAATTCACCATTGCTCAAAAACAATGCTTCACTCTAAATTATAATATATTAATTTTTTATTTTGGTTGCATTATTGTTTTAAAAAATATCAGAAAATTCAGTAAAGATGATTATTTCTTTAAATAGCTTAGAAATATTTTTTAAATGTATGCACTTCATAATAGAGACCGGAACAAGACGAGATCTCGATCGAAAATCTCGGTTATCGAGTTTTATAATCTTTCGAGATCTCGAATCTCGTATGACACTCCCAGTCCGGTCTCTAATTAGTAGGTTCTTTTCGATTTGGAATCGAACCGAAGAGCAAGGATTTTCGGTCCTTTACACTTTTAATCCAAAGATTTTCACGAATAATTCCAATCTGTAAGAACGCAGACTGTTTCGATTCACAAGTCAAAAGTTTTCTAAATACCTCCAAATTAATAATTCTAATATTTTGCACCATTACAAAAATAAATCTAAAAATAATTCATCCGAAAATGTTAACGTAAATCCCCTAAAAATCCTGACTATTACTAAACACTTGTTCAACAATTTAAAAATTTTGTATAAAATACCAACAGGATTTGATTGTTCATCCTTTTTTGCATTAGCAGACCCATTACTAGCCTTATCAGTTCGATATTTTGTCTTTCCACCTCTCAAAACATAGGCATGAAGGAAGAAATTAATGAATAAAATTAAATAACTGACTATAATAAATTATTAAAAATATTTCTTTAAAATTTATTTTTAGAATATACCATCCATGCTAACAGCAAATGCAAAAACTTTACTATCCAAGTCGCATTTAACCTGAATTGAATTTTGTTTAAAACTCGACACAATCGTTATTAACGGCACCCACAATTTTAGGTCTAGTATTTTTACTCTCTGGTTGTTTCTATTCAGGGTAGGATAACCGCTTGTGATATTACTAGTTAATCGTTTGTGTCCAACCCTGGTTATTTTATTAGTATTCAGTTCAAGCAAAATTATTTAAAAATCCTTTTGTGATTTTTCGGTTATTCATATTTTTTCTCTATTCGAATACCATTCTTAAATTAACAATCAGAAGCTAAAACGATTTAAACTAGAATGATAATCAGGGTTGTGGCTCTTAGAAAATCTAGAAATCATAAACCTAACCAAGGAATCGAGGACATTTTGCTACGTTTTTTGGTTCGAGACCTTTATTATACTACTAAGCTTATTGAAGTTTTCACTAACACAAAAATAAATTTTACATTTTCTACAAAAGTTAACCATCCAAGATGTATTAGAATGGCAACAGAAATAATAAATTGCCAAATTTGAATAGTAGTTACAAATTTAGCAACTGGGCCAGGCACTTTAATTTTCATTGAGCGAAGAAAATAATACTTTAAAATGTCAAAAAATTTATTTTAATTTAACAAATCACTAACAGAGTACATATATGAATGTACCAAATAGTTTAGGTAGATGCCCCACCGATTGAATGCTGGTGTAATAGGGTAGGAATAGAAGGCATATAGCATAGTCTATAATAAAAAATAAAGGTATTTTATTATTTACTAGGATTTTCAAAATTAAATTTTAAACCAATTTTTATAAATTACTCAGAAGGGACACGCCAAAGTAGGCGCGAGGCCTTAAAGGCGCAAACCCATAACTTTATGGAAATTTCTAACCCTTATCAATCTTGGTACTTATCTCTTAAGCTCAATGAGAAAAAGGTTTAATACTAGATTGATAAGATTCGAAAATCATGTTTTGCATGTTATGGCCGCGCGCCTACTTGGGCTGTACCCTAGAAGAATTTATTTTTAAAATGAAAAAGTCAGTACTCCTTGAGCCTTGAGCTAAGATTTAATCAACATTAAATTACTAGGTTAATATTAAAGCACGCCAAAAAAGCTAGTTTGGATTTTTCAAAAATCACTTATGAATCGAGACCAATCACTAAGAACTACTTATAGTTCTGATCGATTTCCCTTCGGAACAAAATTAAATGAATTTCTACAAAAACAAGTAGGATGGGAGGAAAATTTGGAAACTAAATATGGGCAGTTCTAACGATCAATAAAATTTTTAAAAATTCTTCGAAATTATTTAAATAAACAAAAAATTCTCGGTTCAGTTTGTACAAGTTTTTTAACCGATGTAATTGGTCTCTAAAACTGATTATTTGACAAAAGATATTTTTCCAAAAATTTATAATAAACTCACAAGAATGTGGTGGTACCAGTGAAGAAACAGTAATGGTCGTTTCCTCAATACCTAAAATATTCCTTAACCAATACAAAAATTCTGAACTTGCCAAAAAGACAGTATCCATCAATTCAAACATTTTACTAACAATAAAAAGCCAGACCCAATATCCGTTTGTTCCGAGAGTATAATTATGGACATGGCAATAAGAACCTTTAAAAATTGGAAATGAATAATGAGAGATAAGAAGGTTATGCCAAATTAAGGACTAGAAATTTCGCTATCTAGACAAATTGAAATTTGTTTGAAGATCCGCATGCGGGATTTTTCATATAAATCATTCAAGGGATGGATTCTAGAAATAATCGCAAAACCGTCACAAAAACCTCGAAAAATCAAAAAGATGTGGGATCGTTGGAGCAGGATCCTACAAAATCTTAAACAGTATTCCTTCACGCGCATATCACACTCTAAAAATAAAAAGTTGACTTTTTTGAATTTTGACCTTTTGGATCTAATTAAAATTTTTTAAATTTTTGGATTAAGTAACTCAATTATGTATGCAAAATTTCATATCTCTATACCCCTTGTGAGTTATCGCTTTGAAAAAGTTCATATATTTGGGCAAGTTTGACTTTAAGACAAAGTACATATTAATTTAAAAGTCCCTACTCTGTAGTCCATGTGTCAGAATTGTTTCAAAAAATTCATAACTAAGTTTAAAAGCTCCCATTGTTGAGAAAATTGCTAGAAAAAGGTTCCATACATTTAACGGAACAAACAGTGAAAATGGTTCTCTATTGCGCATAAAATGCCTCGTTCCAAAAACAACGATAACATATAGAATGCAAAGCTGTTGAATTAAAAATAATTACTCAAGTTTAAAAAAAAAGGGTGGGGGGTATATTTGAAATCGGGTATATCTCCTCGGATATATCTAAAATAGTAATTGTAACGAGGTTTAATTTAAATTAGGACTGTATCTGAGGCATCCATCCATCTTGTCCCACCTCCCGTATAGTGGGCAAAAGTTTTCACTTTATCTAGTATGGTTGTTTGGAGTGGTTCTTGCTACAATAAGTACAACAAGAACATAAAGAATATAAAGTATGGTTGTTGGGAATGGATTTGGCTAACCAATAAATTGTCTGAAAATCAGAAGATTATTATTTTGTATAGGATAATCTTATATTACTATCAATCAAATTGAGAACCTGTATAGTTAAGGGATATCTGTCATCAACCCATTTACGTGCTTCGACTTCAGGAAAATCCGAGGATGTTAGAATTTCAACAAATTTTAAAGTATTGAAATCACGTTGAGTTGTTATATTTTGCCAAAGAGAAGGAAGTTTATTAATATGAGATTCAGCTGTTTCAAGCATTTTAGTTGCAAAATAATGAAGCCCTAAATCAAATTATAAAATTTCCATAATAATACAAGGCAAAAATTGAAAAATCTAACAGTGTTCTAGAGCTTAACCAAGGGTCACTTCTGTATCCAGGCTTTTCTTATTTCTCTTCAAGGGTTCCCTAAATGTGTTAGGGAAGAGACACTAAAGGGTCTAGGAATTATTGAAATTAAAAGAAATAAAAACTTTAAAAAATAAAAAAACAAGGCTTTTTGAAACCTAGGGCTTCAATAAATTTGTCTTAAACCGAACTTCTATCGAATACTAGAGAGCGAGCTGGATCTGGATCCAGATCCTGATTTTTCATAGATTTGGTTTCATGATCAAGGCATTTTTCAGAGTTTCTTGATTCTTCCTTGACACAAGGTCAAGAATCTGGTCAAGATCCTCAATGGAAATCGAGGTCAAGGATCCAGGTTTTTCTGAAAATCTCGTTTTCTATTTAATAAATTAAAGCCCTATTTGAATAAAGCTACCGATTCTCTCTATATTTTAAAATTAAACTTTAATATTTAATTTTATCAAATATTAATTAATAAAAATGTAAAAAAATTAAAATAAAACTAAAACTAAAGCAAATATTAATGGACAGAAAATTGTTATAATAAATTTATGTTTTAGTGACAAGAAAAAATGAGAAGATTTATTATTATTAACGATCACCCCACTAAATAAATAAATAATTTATTGCTTATATGTAGTATTAAAAATAGAAATAGTATAATAATTATTATTCTTTGTACCTTTTTTTATCTCACTCCATATTAATATTAGTAATTGATATTAAAAATAGTAAGATTAACATCAATTATAGACCAATCAAACTTCGATTGAATAAAGCCTTTAAATTAGGCCTTAAGTTTTTGAAAAAAATCATAAAAAAAATCCAAAAACTAAATCTAAAAACTAAATTATAATTAGAGAACGGATTTATATGGATTTCCATATTTTTTCCTAGCATTTTTGGGAAACGAATAATTTTTCAGTTTTCGGCCCATATTTGCTCGATATTTTGGATTTTAGTCCATATTTCTGTCCATATTTTAAGATTTTTAGTCCATATAAATCCGTTCCCTAATTATAATAATGGTTGTCAGCTTTTTTTACATTTCAAAGTTTTCAAAATATTCGCCGAAAGCGTAAGAAAAGAAATTTGAATCCAAACCCCTCTAAATCACCTCAAAATCTTCCAAATCCTTTAGATTTTATTTTATTCTAAATAAATTCCCGAAAACTCTTGTTGTCAGAGATACCGATTCACGAATACCGAATTTATTTTGTTTATATGATAGATTCCTGGTATGTATGAAAGATCCCAATATTGTTTCCATTGACAAATTTTAATGTCTGACTCAGTAGGCTGGCACTCCATACAGCATATATCTAGTCCGATTCGATACAAATTTAAACTCATACTGGGGTTCAATGTCTGGAGTAGTAAAAAACATATTTTGTATCTTGAATGATCTTAATGGATCCCAAAAATAGAGACAAACTAATTAAAGGACAAATACGTTGAATTTAAACCTGTAAAACAATAATTTCAGCCCATCTTCCCTTCAATTTCTAGACATTTTTAAAAAAATATATTTACATATTATTTATATATTTTATTAATTATGCACTTTTAACTCAGTTAATTACATAATAAAATCAATTAATTTATTTACATGTTTTTAAATAGACTGATTGCGCAAGTCGTGTGAGAGTCTCACATTAAATGCCCTTTAATTTTTATTTTGAAATGATGAGTGTTTATTTTTTATTTAAATAGCTATAGCTAAATAACATATAAAATTATTTTTTTATATTAGTCTATTTTTTTTATGTTGTAAGTAAAGGCAAAGTTTCCTCCCCTCGTAACCAGAGGTGGGTCGGAACTGTCAAAGGTGCTGAAATCGGAAGAGCCGGAAATCGGAACTGGCTCAAAAGTCGGAAGGAAAAAAACGCCGGAAATCGGAATTCCGACCCACCTCTGCTCCTAACAATTAAAACAAAATTAAAACGAGCATTATCTCCTTGTCACTATCATGTTTGATCCAATCCTTTACTATTTTATAGGATGCGGTAGACCGCTTATATTATTTAATCCTTACATCTTATTCAACTAATATATAAATTTCTAATTGATCATTAACTCTTTATTTTTAATTAGAAATTAATTTTTAGTTTGAAAACTAAAATGATGAAATTGTTTAATTATTTTATTTTAATTTTTTTATTGTTGTACATATTTTGCGTTGAATCAGCAAAAACTGGTAATTAATATTTAGATAGACAGAATTCCCTTAGCTAGACGGATTCAGAATTCCTCCTATTCATCAAAATAGAAAATTTAAAAATCCAAAATGTTCGAAATCTTAACTCAAAGAAAAAAAGGATTGATGTTCGTTCCAAAATCTTGATTCCATCTGGGGAGTTAAAAGCTTATACTTGTTGCAATCAGTGTTTATAAATTTCAGATTTGCTCGTACTCGTACTACGTACCATCCCATTTTTGACCTCTTATTCATACCTAATTACGAGTACGAATTTTGTTACGAGCTTATAAACACTGGTTGCAACAACTGATATGCCTATTATGGCCGTGCTCAGTCCGGAGCTACCCCAGTATTAATCAACTTACCTATGTTCCTCACTCCTGGTGTGTTTCATGACAAAATATTATAAAAATTATAGTCCTCAACCTTCAAAAAATTTTTTCTCATAAATTTAAATAATTTAAGATTTAAAAGTCAACGATCTTTACGTTGATTTGTTTACTGAAACTGTAATAGATAAAAACAATTTGAGAGCTGGAAAAATTAAAAGAGTTAATTTTTTGGTTTTTGTTGAGGCTGTAGAAGATAAAATAATTTTGATTAACAAATTAATAAAAAAATTGAATGAAAATATTAAAAAACAAAATAAGCCTA